GCAGTTTTAATGGACAGAGTCAATGTTTGTGGTTTATAGCTGCACTCTGCTTGTTTACGTTTAACACAAAACTTTTCATGTCTTTTTTAATGCAAAGCCAGGAAAACTACAATAAAAATGTCAGTAAACACATCCTCATTCAGTTGAGTTCTGCAGTACATTTACTCCAAGTCGTGTCTTCAGAGTGGGTCTAATCTATGTGACCGTTTCCACGTTTCATGCCAGCTCCACCCAAACCTCTGGCCTCCTAATATTATCCTCGTAGAGTGGCTCTACAGCCTGGAAAGACAGTTAGCATGCTGCTTTTCCTTTCTACCTTAAAGGTGACGTTGCGTAGATCCATTATGCCGATGCTCATGTCCTCCAGCATGGCGAGCTCCTCTCCTGCAGACACACACACTGGAAATCAGAGGCTCAGCCAGCTGTGTGTGATTAGAAAAAGCTTTGAGTGTGTTTGTACCGTAGGTGCTGAGCAGGGACTCAAACTGAGCAAGCAGGCCGATGGTGTACAGCTGTCGCAGGAATCCGTTGTCACGGAGACAGTTCCTCAGCTTGATAATGAAGCCGCAGATGAGAGCGGTGAGCTGTAACACACACACACACCCACACACACAAACATGAACGTGAACAGCAGGTCAGACAAGAAAGAGTCAGTTTGTTGTTTTCCAAGCTCAGCCCATAAACTTTTAAAGCAGCGGTCTGACACCATCATCAGCCACAGCTACTGCTGCAACTGCAAGCTGCTTTGCAACCCCGGTCCACCCCAGCCTCCCACCAGGCAACCTGTGGCTTTCAGTCAAAAGTGGGAAGTTTTCCTCCTTTCCTCCTTGCAACTGTTGCTCTAGTGTGACTGAGCTGTAATAGTGTTCCTTTCATGTTTAATATGAAACTGAGCTGCATTTGATGTCTCATCTGAAATCTGATGTCTGTGAGGTCGACAAATATGAGTACAGTGTTTTTCAACCATAAACCTGACCAAAAAAGCAATTAGGAAGCAAAACGACTCTATAGCTGTCTGTTTAACACAGTGATCATCACTACACACAAAGACATCCTGCAGTCTGAGCTCGGCATTAATCGCCTCTGTCTGTTGTCACTGATCCCTGCTGCTGCTGTGAATCTGTGCAGTTTAAATAAAGTAAAATTGAAAGTACTTTCACTGCAGAATCTTACATTTAATTTACAATTCAGATCACACTTTAATTTTTAACACAGCCGGCACTGACTGCAGTGTCGGTTTTTAAACCTGCACCATATTCTCGTATGCAAATCAACATATGGTTTCACATCAAGACACCACCGATTGGCTGCTTATCACATTATGTAAGTGGACTCATGCGGTTGGTTTCTGTGCATCCTTGTGCAGCTCAGCGTGTTGCGGCGCACGCTTTTGAGGACTGCACTGACAAGTTTTATGTAACTGATTTTCAGTTCACACTGCCAGAAGCTCACTTCAAACTGATCTGACTGAAGACGATCAGAAATGTTATACACCCAACAAACCCTGAATGGCTGAGGATCACTATTGAGTTTGCAGTTGTGTGCTCTTAAATATGCTCTTTAATGCATGGTTGAAACAGAGTCTGAAATTCTGCCTGCAGAGTCCCAAACTCAGGAAGATATTTTCATTTGATGAGTAAATATAGCCCCCAGTATATTAGACTGACCAGTGATTCTACGTTGGCCTTAGGTGCCTGTGATGGCACCAATGATAGCTGGGATACGCTCCAGCCCCTCTGAGAACTGGACGAGCCATTAATGGCCCAGCACACTATAGTAAAAACAAAACAACAGCCATCTCTACAACTAGGAAAGGAAAATAATAAATCCGACTGCCTACTGGGAGGCAACCTGTCTCCAAATAGTTGTAGTGCAACTCAGACTGACTGCAATCACTCTGAGGCAGACTGATAAGGATCTGCAAATAACTGTTGTCTAATTTATAAACACAGACAGATTGTCAACATATTGCAATCAGTCTGCACAGATGAGCGCAGCAATTCTGGGACACGTGTTTTTACAATAGAGGACTTAAGTGGTTGCAAACTGGTTGTATCGTGGTTATGTGAAAATTGCCGAGTGCCAATGGAGGAATTTCTGAATTTCTCTGTCAAATCTACAAATGTAAGTAGTTGATGTGAATGTCTGTGTATGTAGACGGCAAGAGATTTCAAATTTTCTCAGCTTTATCACAGTTAATCGCTGTATTATCAGACCTGGTCCCCGTCTTTGAAGCAACAATTTCAGAGGAAACAAGATCACAAGTTCAATGTGCATGGTGGGGGTTGCGATCATGCAGTGGCCTCCAACCACTGTTTTCCCAGAGTGTGACTGTAGCATAGGAAAAACGATGGATGTGCCAGTGATGGAAGGCCACTCTCAACACATGTGGGTCATTTCTGAGAACTATAATCAAAGCATTAACAATGTCAGAAAACAGGATCTCACTGTCTTTAAACATTGCTTTGGAGCAATGAAACTCAAACCACTTGAATGGCGCAAAAAGAAATTTTAGAATATTTAGCTTTATGCTTTGAAAATGCTTGACTGATTACTTGTAAGTATTTCAGCTCTGATTATGGCTGACTATTATGAAATGCTATTCTTACTTCTTTACTTAATGCTTGGATTAGAGTTTAATTTGAAGTGTCTGAGTCCTGTAGCTGCTCATTTAAGAGCTGCAGGGATCCACCGCTGGGTAAATATAACTGATGTGAGTCAGACAAGAGGGTTTGCCAAAAACTACAATCGCAAAGAGCCTCTAAAAATACCGAAGGAAGGATCCACTTTGAGGACTACATCTGGTATCATATCCTCTTTATAACTGCAGTCTCAGGTGAGTGGGAGTGTGAAATCCTTACTTGCTGTGCTCCCTTTGCCTTTACTCTTTACTCAGACATTTAATAGTCATATGAATACCGTAAAGCCACAAAGTCATAGAGCTCTGAACTCCTTGCTTTTACGATATTTACACTTTTCTTGGCCTTTTCCTTCACTCTGAGTCACTCCAGGATAAACGCATCATCTCAGACATACATTAACGGAAATATGTGTAGGTGAGTGTGTCTGAGTCACTTGGATGATGTTTGTGTGCTGACCGTTTGGCAGAAGACAATGTCGCGGCGGTACTGCAGCGACACGTCCATGGCTATCGTTGGGGCGATGTCCTGCATGAGCAGGAAGACCATAGACTTCTTGGCTTTGTCGCTCATCATGGCAACGCAGTCCGTGAGCGTGGTGAGGAGAGGGTACAGCGCCTCGCTCCACTCGCCTGCAACAAGTGCAAATAAACCATGAGAGACCAAACACAAATATGCCTTCAAACCAATAATTTCCACACCAGGTAGCAAAGATTGTGTTTTTTAGAGTCCACTTCTTGTTAAATTTGACAGAAACAGAAAAAAAAGACAAGAGGGACAACGGGGAAAGGAGAAGCACACACACACTGAAATCTTTTAGGGTGAAGCTCCAGGACTAGCCACAAATCCTGCTGGAAAGAACCTAAAAACACTTGCAGAGATCTGACAGAGCTTTTTGAGTCAAAAGCCTGCTGTCAGGCTTGTTCTTAAAAAATAGGAAACGAGCTGAGATAGTGTTACAGACCCCAGTCTTTATGTAAAGAAAAAGCTGCAATTTTAGAGCAGTCCCAGCAGATTCTAAAACAGTGACACTGATTTGTGGGTTTTTTTGGACTGAGGGCAGATTTAGGTATTAAAAATGAGTCAATCACTGTAGCTTTTTAAAAAAATAAATAAATAAATAATGAGTTTTTGTAACTATTTCAGGGTTTGTTGGAGTTTACTCAGTCCAGACATTGGAATATCTCTGCCTGGGCATCTTATCAAAATCATTCTGAGTCCTGGAAAAGTGAGTAGAGTGAGAGGAGCACATGTGGGGAGGCAGCTCTTACCTGGATACGCCTCCTCAGCACTGGGGCTTCCATCTGGAAGAGGGGTTGGAGGTGCGACATGCATGATTAGCAGCACTGTACGCCATAGAGGGCAGCAGAGACAACACAGAAGAAACACTGCAGACCAGAGTCCAAACATCCTTATTCTCTAATGGCTCACGAGGAGAAACTCTTTTCTGTCTTATTTTATGAAAATCTAGTGTGTTTTGGGGGGAATTTGGACAGATGTTGGACCCTGGTCTGCTACAACATATAGAAAATCTCAGATACAACAGCTACATTGCTGCAGTACTGCTGCAACACTGTGCACATAGACACGCAGACCATACATAAAACACTGAACACTTTGGTTATATTCCACTGAACACAGTGGAAATGGCTTGAATTTAAAACCAGAAAGTAGCACAAAAAGGTGCCAGTATGACAGGAGGGTTAAAGACGAGTCATTTAAGAGCATTTTCTCAAAGAATAAAGTTGGCTGATGAGGTGAAGGAAAAATCTGCTCATGAATCCTCCAACTTCTTAAAAGTAAGCAGTGACCTGAGCTGAAAATAGATGTGGAGGGATGACTCAAGAAGAAGAAGAAGAAGAAGAGAAAAAACAGGAAAAAAAAACCTACAGGTTTCCTGTTCGGGGCTGGGAGGCCGTGCAGAGAGGGCAAGCTGAGAGGAAGAGGATGGTGGTGGAGATGATGATGATGGTGGAGGCGGTTCTAATAGTGATGATGATGATGATGATGGTGGTAAGGATGGAGATTCCTCTGACGTACTTTCTGGGTTGATCCAGAAAGCTAAACACTTCCCACCATCGCCTTTTCACACCCACATAAAAAAAAATCAAGGGGTCAGCAAACAAGTTTAGAACTTTAGTATAAAACAACGAGAATATTTCAATTGTCTTATTTAAATAAATAAAGAGAACGGGTGGGTGAAACTGACTTTTAATCCCAAGTGGTGATAACTTCACACCATATCTGTCTATGTTGGAAACAAACCACAGCAAAACTATTTCTCAGTATTTACTGTCTCTTTGTGGTATTTTTCTCTGAGCTCTGCAGAGCTGCTGACATCTTATCGGTGACTTGCGAGAGGTTTAACCTGCACTGGGTTTAAAGCCAGACTCCAGGAATACTGTCTTACTCTGTTGGACAGGGAGAGGCGAGGGATATAAAAAACACTGTAGTCCCACAACTGGGACATCTGCTCACTCATAACTGCAGATCTCATGGCTCCTATAAACGAGGTAAACACTGGGCTGATGAGCTTCTGGCCTCTTCTTTAGAGTCTTTTTTAAAATATAATGATGTTTTTGCTGTAAATTGTGGTCCTGTGCAGTTTCTGATCCCTCACCTGTGCCGTCTGGTTTTACAACATAAAGGACCTCATAACTAAGAGATCCAAGCTGGTTTCAAAGTAATTCCATATTATTCTAGACTTTTTATACCAACTCCCACTCTTATGGCTCCCTAACTCACTAAAATGCAATCTTTTGACTTTGCTGTGCTTTTTTTAGTCCTCCAGTTTGCAGATTTCTATTAATGGTACCAAAAGCATGTCAGTAAAGACATTTCCCAGCTCTTGAATCATATTGACACTGTTTTCCTCCAACAGTTTACCACCTCTGGGCCAGATTAACATGTTAACAACACATGCATCTCTCCCCCCAAGAAACAGTATAACACTGCAAGCATAAATTAAAGAGTGCTGATGAGAGGGCACAGAAGTAAACTACAGCTAAAAGACTGTAAGAGTCTCTTACCTTTCTTACTGCTGCCACCCTGCTGGTCACTCTGGGTACTGTCCTGACTGCCGACGCTGGGTCTCCTCTCTTTCTGAAGCAGCTTGTCGACGCGCTGGATGATGCACTCCAGAGACTTATCCACATTTGACCACACCTTCTCCTGAGAGGACATGTTTACAACATTCAGCTGTTTCAGCTTCAATTTTAGAGAGTAACAAACCAATCAAAAGAGCGTCTTTAAGTAATGTGCTAAAAAAGAAACGGTGACACTTTGAAAATATTTATGTGCAAAAAAGGAGTAAAAGACGTGCACGTCTCACACCAATCCTAATTTCTTTGTATATATGCTATAAATGTTTGCTTGTATATAGTTTCAATTAGAAACAGCGTTACAACTCTGAGCCTGAAAGTCAATATTTGGTGTGACCACCTTTATTCTTCAGCACAGTCTGAACTCTCTTAGGCAGCTTTCTTGTCATGTCTTTAAGTCGTCTTCAGGAATAGTTCTCCAGGCTTCTTGAAGGACATTCAAAGCTCTTCTTTGGATGTTTCTGCCTTTTGTTCTGTTCTCTGTCAACATGATCCCACACTGCTTCAATAATGTTGGGGTCTGGGCTCTGGGGAGGCCAATCCATGACTGATATTACTCCACTGGTATTTTTTTACTGCATTCCTTGTGTATTTGGGATCATTGTCATGCTGAAAAATGAAGCTGTTGTCAATCAGATGATTTCCAGGTGATATTTCTACGGTGGCCCTGAGAGGCCAAACGGACTGCAACTTAAGAAAACACCAGCAATAAGAAAAACGCTGCAAAGGCACACAAAACACAACGGAAATAGGAAAAAACAGATTTCCAAAGCACATTTCTGTGGAAATGTTCAGGTACAAGGACTGGACTGAAAAAGAGTAAAAAATAAATAAATAAAGCAGCCAGCATCCAAAGAAACACTTTGAAAGACCTTAAGAAAGCCTGGAAAAGTATTGCTCAAGAGTACTTTACAAACAAAAGAAAGTCTGTCCTCTTGGAAACAAAATATAACTAAATGAGGGGAAGTTCAGGACACAGTACTGTATTTATTGAAGAAATAAATTACAGCAGGGAATTATACTCAAGGCAGAGGAAGGAGAGGAGGAATTCAATCAGCGAAGATTCACGGATTTCATTACATGACCCTCGTCTCAGTACACAGAGGCAAAATGCACTCATGACAGTAATGTCACTTCAAGTTCATTACATTTGAATAAACATATTTTGCGCATCATTTACAACTAAGCAGTGTCAGAGAAGCCACCATTTCTATGAAGACTGTGTGATGACTGCATAATTTCTTTCCTTTGTTATTTATATTTTGCACTCATCACATTTTTTGAGTATAATAGCAGAAAAAAGTTTTTGTTTTTATATATCACTACTGTAGATAAATATCATATAACAAGAACAAGAACTTCAAATGACAAAGTGACAAGAACTTAAATAATAGGATGGAAACTGGCACTGTTAAAGGATAATCATTTAAATATTCTGATGCGTAGTTATGCATATATTTTCAATAACAAGAGCTCAAAAGTTCACTTATAAGCATCCTGAAGCTTTAACCACCACTCGTGTGTTTTTTCAGATACTGCGTTTTACTTATATAAGCTAACAGATGGCTGAAAATAAAAAAAGATTGAAAAATGAACCCAGAGCTTCTCCTTTTTGAGTTGCACCTGTTTTTTATACTTTCAGTTGGAAATCTGTTAAATTACAAACTGCATGTCCTCTTCTGAAGATTGGTTGTCATCCAGCTTGGTACAGAGTGTAGTTAAGATCTTAAGCTGTATGCACAACGCGTGCCAAGAAACTAAGCTCATTTGTTCTCATGCGAAAATAAATAAATAAATAAATAAATCTGGAATCAAAAAACAGCCAAAAACTGCTGATGAACTCACCCACTCCTCTTCGTGCCAGTCCACATGCAGTGAAGACCGGCTGTTGCGACCGCTGTACTTTGCTGTCAGTGTGTCCTGGTCGTTGCGGAGCACTACTTGTTCGGACTCAGCGGAAGGAGACGCTTTGGAGGCAATGTACTCGGGCCGCGCTGCGTTCAGGGCCTGAATAGCTGAAGCTAGCAGCTTGCAGTCGCACACTGTCACCAGCTGACGGGTCTGAAAGGAAGAAGGTATGAATGAAATAAGAAGCGTCCCCACGTAACGTCACATCACTTCCAAAACCTTTTTGTACCTTATCAGCCAGACTGGCAAGCGTCCACTCCAGTCCGCTGGCCGATCGGTCTTTGGCAGCTCGAGACAGCCTCTCTGCGTAGTAGCTGACCTGAGTCTTCAGCGTGTTGATGTGGGCGATGATCTCTTTGGCTCGGACAATGTCCTGGGGTATGTAGATGATGGACTGAGAACTGGAGAGGGCGCTACTGCAGGGAACAAAGACACACAGACACGTCTGTATCCGAGCTGGGACTGAGGATGCTCTACACTCACCAGCCACTTTATTAGGTGCTTTATTACTTTATTAGGTACATCTGTTCAACTGCTCATGGCAGCAATTTAGTGCATTTAGACATGGTCAAAACAACCTGCTGTAGTTCAAACTGAGCATCAGAATGGAGAAGAAAGGTGACTTAATTGACTTTAAATGGTTGTTTGGTCTGAGTATTTCACAAACTGCTGATCTACTAGGACTTTCCCAGACAACCACAAACACAGAAGACCATAAAGATACAACTTTTGTCAGCTAAGAACAGGAAACTAAGGCTATAACTTGTGAGTGGCAGTTCACTGGGTAAAAATGCCTTCAGAGGAGAATAGCCAGCCTGCTTCAAGCTGATAAGAAGGCAATGATAAGCCACCACTCATTACAACCAAGGTATGCAGAAGAGCAGCTCTGAATACAGCAGAAGAGCACACCAGGTCCCACTCCTGTTAGCTAAGAACAAGAAAACTAAGGCTACAATTCACACGGGCTCACCAAATCTGGACAACAGAGGACTGGAAAAATGTCACCCAATCTGTGGAGCTTCAATTTGTGCTGTGACATTTGGTTGGTAGGGTGAGAATTTGTCATAAACAATATGACAGCATGGATCCATCCTGCTTCAGGTTGGATGACATCATCTCAAACTGGTTTCTTGAACATGAGGATGAGTTCACTGTACTGAAATGGGCTCCACAGTCACCAGATCTCAGTGCAACAGAGCACCATTGGGATTTGGTAGAACAGGAGATTCACATCATGGATGTGCAGCTGACAAATCTGCAGCAACTGTGTGATGCTATCATGCCAATATGGACCGAAAACTTTGAAGAATGTTTCCAGCACCTTGCTGAACTGTGCGATAAAGAATTAAGGCAGTTCTGAATGTCCGACCCGGTACTGACAAGGTGCACCTAATAAAGTGGCCTGTAGGTGTATATTTTTGTAATGTTTCTGTCTTATGTCTGAAATATGCTTCAGCAGGAAATATACGCTGTAACTGGAAACAGAATACTATAACAGGAAACGGTTTAGGTTTAAGAGGGGTTTCGGTTACGTCTTAAGTTAGAACGTAAACTTCCTGCAGAAGTCTAAAACAAGCTTCAGAGGGTCTGTTTCAAAAACGTAGTGAGAGACATTACCCACTACTCTTAACTTTAGTGTTTCACAGATGTACAAACATACAGTGTCTGCATGCACATGCCTGCTCTTAATGGACCGGAGAGACAACATGGAGCAGACTTCAATAAACGCCAGGGACGGGGAACGATACCACTCGCTTCACAAATTCAGACCATCTCATGTAGAAGAATTTTAAAAATGTCTCTTTAATATTGTCAGGGTCTGACTTTTTAAGCACAGAAACATGGTTTAATGGACTTTAAAATGACAACTGAATTTATAAAGTGAGCAGTATTCAAACAACTTTGTGACAAACCTTGTGCTCGCTTTAAGACAACACACATTTTAGTTCTATATTAGTTAACACAACACTGTTAAGACTGATGCGCCACGTGCCGTTATTTCTTTGCATTAACATAATAAGCTATGCAAAACCCCCATTCTTCCAGCTTAAAACTGAAAATACATTGTTGTACAAATCTTAAGGATCTATGAAAGTGTGATTTTTTATTTTGTATTTTTTTAGAAGTGTCAAATGAAAACAAGCAAAGCAGTGCAACGACTCACCATTCCTCCTCATATACGCTGATCGGAAAAGTAACAAAAACAAAATTAAGAGGAAGCCATAAAAAGGGAACTGCAGGATTAATGCAGAAATTGAAGAAACAAAGATGACAAAAAAACAACTGTTTAAATACAAATCACAAGATGAATAAAGCAAAATATAAAAACCCAAAACAGGAGCAGAGGTCATCGCAACTTGCTTCCCCCCACCTCTTTCATTTTCCTATGTGATGCCCCACTTTGTGCTCAACTTACTGTTTCTTTGCTTCCTCGAACTTCTGGATGAGCTTCCTCAGACCGCCGTTCTTAAAACCCTGGCAGTGAGCGGCCGGGGCGCCGACTGTTACCACATCATATGTCTGTTCTGGAAAGACAAACAAGGATGTTTTAAAGGCACAACAAGAAGTGCGTGCAATCACAGCAAGATTTGTTTTTTAATCATTTGTATTCGTGTCTAACCAAAACCCAGCTCATCCTGCACCCTCATCCTCTGAACGTGAAGGTTAGTGGGCATGAACTCCAGCTTCTTGTCTGCTTTCAGGTTACTGGCTTTGAATGATGGGCCTGACAAAGAGACGAAGAAGCTTAGTCGTTATGTTTTTAACTTTTTCTTTTAGGTGTACTCGGGCCTGCACGTACACTGACCTCTGTATTCACTGAGGTCAGACAGTGTCTCTTGGTAAGCGAGTATTATGTTCTGGTACTGAGAGACGATCTGCCGCCGCAGGTTCTCCCAGCAGGGGGACAACTCTCCCAACTCCTCCAACTCACAAACCCTGCAGACGGAATAGTTAGAAAGAGGGAAAAATGAATCATCAAGTACTGCGCTCGCTTCAATATGCATTTCAAATGACTTGCAATAATCCATAATCAGAAATAATTTCCATAATTTAAAGAATTTCTCTGATTTCAGCTTCTCGGACGGGATAATTTGCTGCTTGTTTTGGTTTAATGTAACATCCTTTCATTTATCCTCCCTCTCCTATACATCCAGGTTCAAGGTCATGGGTTTGGTCAGTCTAAGCAGAGAAACTCAGACCTCTCTTTTCCTGGCCGCCTCTTCCAGCTCATCTGGGGGAAAACTGAATTATTTCCAAGCCAACCGAGAGATGTAATCTCTCCACCGAGCCCTGCTCTGCCCTGGGGCCTCCTCCCTGCAGGACATGCCGGAAACACCACACCCAGGAGGTATCCATAAGGCATCCAAATCACATGCCAGAATCACCTCAGCTGCCTCCTTTTGATGTGAAGGAGCAGTGGCTCTAATCCAAATGTCTCCCCAATGACTGAACTCTTCATCCTATTACAAAGGCAGAGGCTTTCCACCCTTCAGAGAAAGGTTATTTTGTCACTTCTATCTGCAATCTCATTCTTTCTGTCACTATCCAAAGCTTGCGATCATAGTTGACGGTGGGGAGGTAGATTGACCGATAAACCAAACGCTTTGCTTTTATGCTTAGCTCTCTCTTCACCAAAGCAGAGCCCCAATCCGTCAGTCAACCTCCCGCTCAACTCTCCCTTTATTCATGAAGAAGTGCTTAAGGTAACTAAACTCCTCCACTTGAGGCAACAAGTCATCCTTGACCTGGAGTGAGCACTCTGCCCTTTCTTTGCTGAAGACCATGGCCTCTGACTTGAAGGTGCTCATTATCATTTCTGCAACTTAGATGCAAACCATCCCAGGACCTCTACCCAATGAAGCCAACAGAACAGAATCATCTAGAAAAAGCAGAGATGATATTCTGAGGCCACCAAAATTGAGATCCTCCAACTATCTGGCTATGACTAGAAATTTTGTCCATAGAAACTAAGGACACAAAGTTTAATGAAGCAATAAAGTAAATTTCTTTGGGTTTTAAGCTGCTGTAGAGAAAACAAAACATCTGAAAAGGTCAAACTGGGTATTATGAAGTTTAAGCTATAAAAAATTGAAAATTACGATTCTTGTTCTTTATGTATTAAATATTTAACCCCTCAGAGGTTTGAAACAATTATTGAGCTCACAAGCTTGTCTACGGTTATGAAGATGAATCATGAGACCGCCGAGTTGGGACCATCTATGAAGTGGAACACTGGATAAATTATAATGGTGCAAAAGCATGCATTTTAGGTCTCTGCTAATTTTTGTTTTGTTATATTCATTTGGCCTCCATCACAAAGGCCTAGAAACCAGTTACAAACCTATGAAAAACTGTATTCCCCAACCAGTTGGCAAGTGGTTGCTGGCTGTGTGCGACAAAAACCTCTTTATGACTGCACTGATGACAAGCAGATTTCTGTACTCAGCAGCAGTGTTTGCAGACAAGACACCCACTTGTCTGCAAACACTGTCCAACTACTGACCAGTAGGCCATATCGAAGTCAGTTTACACATCATTGGTCTCCTGTTGGCTATTACAGGAACTTAGTTTTGCCTTTTTTTTAATTATTAGTCATGTCAATTCAGTTTCTTTATAAGCACATTTTAAAAACAAGAGCTGACCAAAGTGGCGTACAGCTAAGAGGAAGAAAACAGAGCAGGAAAATACAGAAAAACTGAAGACGAACAAGTAAGAAAACAAAAGAAAAGAGTCAAAGCTCAGGATTTAAAGATGTCGAGTGTTGATGAGGTGGGTAGTGTCCAAAGTTGAGGGAAAATATATTTAACAACTTCATTGTTATATTTTGTGATCAAAATGACTTCACAGTGCAATGGTGGGAAAATCGGATTTCTGGTGATGGTTGAAGGAAATAGCAGTTGTGATGATGTCCACGTCTCACAGAATTTAAGCAGGCTGCTGCTAAAATTCTCCACCTGCATAAATATTGCAGTTGAAACATCTGATGTTGTATTTTACACAGTGTTAACCTGTTTTGAATCCATTTTGAGAAACTATGCATTCTTTAAAAGCACAAAGCAAAGAGCGAAAAAAAGTTTTACAGACCAGCAGCAAACAAGAGGTTCAGTTTATTCAGTATAAGAAATGAAGAATAAGTAAGAACAAGTAACATGTTCTTTATTGGTAAACTTTAGAAATGCTGTACATGACTGTACCTGGCTGCATCCTCCTCCAGCAGCAGTTTGACAAACTGTCTGGGAATGTTTAGAGACAAGACGCTCTCGGCCATCTGCTCCAGCACTCGTAGGTGGTTCCCATCAGTGGTGGGGAAGCGGTACATCCTCGACATCGTGCCGCCAAACACTGAAGCAACACAAAATTCAGTTAGCTTGGATTAGATGAAGACAGATCTGACCAAAGTTTTTCCTCAGTAAACAACGTTATTGCTTTCCGTTATTTTTGGACTGCCACTCAATCCCCGAGGTAAACAGACACCTCCCACTCACCGGGGACAATCAATACAACTCAACTGCATGTTGATGGAAAATGTGAGTTAGAGAAATGAAGGACGAGGAGAGAAAAAATAAAAAA